AACAACAACAACAACAACAACAACAACAACAACAACAACAACAACAACAACAACAACAACAACAACAACAACAACAACAACTTGGTAACGCCACCAAGATGGCGCCAACCTAGGCCGAGGTAGGCGCAACCTCGCCCAAGATGTAAGCCGCCGGGGTCGAATTCAAACCCGGCTCGGCCTGACGGGTCTGCTTTTGCCGGCGCCCGGCTGTCAGGCGTAAGCCTCATAAATCCGGCCAGGGGCCCCCTGGCCGTGGCATAGCCGAAGGCGTTTCTCTCCTCTCCGTAGAGAGGGGCCGCGCCCCCTGCCGCCGACCCACCCCCCCCCACCGCGTGTCATCAAAATATCCTGCGTTTTACAGTGTATTTTGCTCTTCCCGTTTTTTGCACTTTTTCGGCTCTTGTGGCTCAGGATGGGTCAACATGGGCCAACATAGGCCTCAAGATGGATCAACATAGCCCCAACATGGGGCAACATAGCCCCCAAGATGGGCCAAGATAGCCCCAAGATGGACCAACGTAGCCCCAAGATCGGGCAACATAGCCCCCAAGCTGGGCCAACATAGCCCCAAGATGGGCCCACATTGCGTTCAAGATAGGCCAACATAGCTCCAAGATGGGCCAACATAGCCCCAAGATGGGCCCACATTGCCCTCAAGATAGGCCAACATAGCCTCAAGATGGGCCAACATAGCCCCAAGATAGGCCGCCGACCATCAAAATATCTTGCATTTTACAATGTTTTTTTTGCTGGTCCCATTTTTCGGGTCTTTTGGCTCAACATGGGTCAACATAGGCCTCAAGATCGGCCAACCTACGCACCAAGACGGGCCAACATAGCGCCAAGGTGGGCCAACATAGCCCCAAGATGGACCAACATAGCCTCAAGCTGGGGCAACATAGCCCTAAGATCTTGCTCCTAGCTAGACCCATATCACCTCAACATGGGCCCCTGGCCGGCTGTCGCGCGTAAGCGCTTAAATAACGTGGTTTTCACAGACTCCCATATATGTCTATGTATGATTTGGATGTCGTTTCAGATGTCGTTCCAGATGTCGTTCCCCACCTAAATGGACTACCCTCAAAACAGTTTAAAGCCAGAATTAGGTGCGGCGGTGCGGCGAATTATGGACCAAGGATCACCGAATACATAGCTGAGTATTACGGGGTTTTTAATACAGCTCAACTCCACTTCGGTCATATTTGTCATCAAGTCGTCAATGGTCATTTATGGTCAGTATTTGCAAAACGTAAGAAAATTTGGCTCACCTCTGACCAACCTGGACCAGCCTTCGAATCGACATGACACTCACTTGAAGCCGATCTGAAAATGGTTCAAGCGAAAGCATGCTAAAGAGGTTATGCCTGGACATATCACCAACAACCAAACAGAAATCAAGCAAACTACATGGTAAGCGGCGGATAGAACACCACCTGTTTTTCCAACCGTTGCAAGTTCACTTTCCCTGTGTTTTCTCAGGGTTTTCTGCTTTCGTCCATTTTTTGGACCCTCTCAAATCCTGCGACAAACTACTTCGTTTTATCAATGCTGTATCTGTAAGTGTGTATTTTTTCCTATCACAAGCTTTGCAGGACGTGAGTTAAATTTTGATACACTTCGTTAGGACTAGAAGAAGGTGTCCAAATTCTGTACAACCATTGTTTGATCAAAGTATCGATTTCTGGGTGCATCTTGGATCCAAAGTTTCCTTTGAGTTTGCTAAGGAAAGTTGATCCAATGAATTCCTTTAAATCCTCTCCAATGCTGATCAATGCATTGAGTTCCAATGATCAATGGAATTGTGGTAAATGAATTTACATAAACCGGGGACATAGTCAGGCAAAAGCATCACATCCAGAGCGTGTTTCAAACTACTTAGAAAAGTACAGAAAAATAACATCATGAGCGTGTTACAAGAAGCTGAACTGGAAATGCTTCGAATGAAAGCATGTCAAAGAGACTAGGTCTGGACACATCACCAACAACCAAACTGAAATCAAGCAAGCTACATCTACCCAGAGAAAACATCATCATACTTGGGATACCCCTTGATATGGGCTACATCTATGCCAAAGAGCCCAAGACATCCGAAACAGGCCAGGCCTGAGCTCCCTCAGAACCAATCATGTTATGTTCCAAATTCATGTCCCGCACGGAGCTATTGATCTTCAAGGCTTCCGCGAGAGCCTGAAAGAAACACAAGACATCAAAGATCCGGGTCAGCAACTGCAACAAGTAAAATGAGTAAAGAGACTTGGCTCGCCTCTGACCAACCTAGACCAACCTACGAATCGACATGACACTCACTTGAAGCCTGAAGCTGATCTGGAAATGCTTCGAATGAAAGCATGTCAAAGAGACTAGGCCTGGACACATCACCAGCAACCAAACTGAAATCAAGCAAGCTACATCTACCCAGAGAAAACATCATCATACTTGGGATACCCCATGATATGGGCTACATCTATGCCAAAGAGCCCAAGACATCCGAAACAGGCCAGGCCTGAGCTCCCTCAGAACCAATCATGTTATGTTCCAAATTCATGTCCCGCACGGAGCTATTGATCTTCAAGGCTTCCTCGAGAGCCTGAAAGAAACACAAGACATCAAAGATCCGGGTCAGCAACTGCAACAAGTAAAATCAGCAAAGAGACTTGGCTCGTCTCTGACCAACCTAGACCAACCTACGAATCGACATGACATTCACTTGAAGCTGATCTGGAAATGCTTCGAATAAAAGCATGTCAAAGAGACTAGGCCTGGACACATCCCAACGACCACACTGAAGTCAAGCAAGCAACATCTATCCAGAGAGAACATCATAATACTTGTGATACCCCTTGATGTGGGTTACGTCGAAGCCAAAGAGCCCCAGACATCCGATACAGGCCGGGCCTGAGCTCCCTCGGGACAAATCCGGTTAAATGCCAAATTCATGTCCCGCACGGAGCTATTGGTATTCAAGGCTTCTGCGAGAGCCTGAAAGAAACACGAGACATCAAAGATCCGGGTCAGCAACTGCAACAAGTAAAATGAGTAAAGAGACTTGGCTCGCCTCTGACCAACCTAGACCAACCTACGAATCGACATGACACTCACTTGAAGCTGATCTGGAAATGCTTCGAATGAAAGCATGTCAAAGAGGCTAGGCCTGGACACATCACCAACAACAAAACTGAAATCAAGCAAGCTACATCTACCCAGAGAAATTATCATCATACTTGGGATACCCCTTGATATGGGCTACATCTAAGCCAAAGAGCCCAACACATCCGATACAGGCCAGGCCTGAGCTCCCTCGGGACCGATGTCATTAAATCGCAAATTGATGTCCCGCACGGAGCTATTGGTCTTCAAGGCTTCCGCGAGAGCCTGAAAGAAACACAAGACATCAAAGATCCGGGTCAGCAACTGCAACAAGTAAAATGAGTAAAGAGACTTGGCTCGCCTCTGACCAACCTAGACCAACCTACGAATCGACATGACACTCACTTGAAGCTGATCTGGAAATGCTTCGAATGAAAGCATGTCAAAGAGACTAGGCCTGGACACATCACCAACAACAAAACTGAAATCAAGCAAGCTACATCTACCCAGAGAAAGCATCATCATACTTGTGATACCCCTTGATGTGTGTTGAGTCTAAGCCAAAGAGCCCAACACATCCGATACAGGCCAGGCCTGAGTTCCCTCGGAACCAATCTTGTTATGTTCCAAATTCATGTCCCGCACGGAGCTATTGGTATTCAAGGCTTCTGCGAGAGCCTGAAAGAAACACAAGACATCAAAGATCCGGGTCAGCAACTGCAACAAGTAAAATCAGTAAAGAGACTTGGTTCGCCTCTGACCAACCTAGACCTACGAATCGACATGACACTCACTTGAAGCTGATCTGGAAATGCTTCGAATGAAAGCATGTCAAAGAGGCTATGCCTGGACACATCACCAACAACAAAACTGAAATCAAGCAAGCTACATCTACCCAGAGAAAACATCATCAAACTTTTGATACCCCTTGATATGGGCTACATCTATGCCAAAGAGACCAAGACTTCCAGTACAGGCCGGGCCTGAGCTCCCTCGGGACCGATGTCATTAAATAACAAATTCATGTCCCGCACAGAGCTATTGGTCTTCAAGGCTTCCGCAAGAGCCTGAAAGAAACACAAGACATCAAAGATCCGGGTCAGCAACTGCAACAAGTCAACAAGTAAATTAAGTAAAGAGACTTGGCTCGCCTCTGACCAACCTAGACCTACGAATCGACATGACACTCGCTTGAAGCTGATCTGGAAATACTTCGAATAAACGCGCAGGGAGGTTGCTTTGAGTGTGGAAATTGAAATCGTCGAAAGCGGCCACTTGCGGCCACTTGCGGCCACTCGCTGGGAGCGGCCACTTGCGGCCACTTGCGGCCGCTCGCTGGGAGCGGCCACTTGCGGCCACTTGCGGCCACTCGCTGGGAGCGGCCACTTGCGGCCACTTGCGGCCACTTGCGGCCGCTCGCTTGGAACTGGCTGGAGCGGCCACTTGCGGCCACTTGCGGCCACTCGCTGGGAGCGGCCACTTAATTGCGGCCACTTGCGGCCATGGGAACTGTCTGGGGCGGCCACTTGCGGCCACTTGCGGCCACTTGCGGCCACTTGCGGCCACTTGCGGCCATTGCGGCCACTTGCGGCCACTCGCTGGGAACTGTCTGGAACGGCCACTTGCGGCCACTTGCGGCCACTTGCGGCCACTTGCGGCCACTCGCTTGGAGCGGCCACTTGCGGCCACTTGCGGCCACTTGTGGCCACTCGCTTGGAGCGGCCACTTAAAGCCACTTGCGGCCACTCGAGTGGCTGCGAGTGGCTGCGAGTGGCTGCGTGCTGGTAGAAATACATGGCATCTTGAAAAAAATCGGTTTTGCTGGAAATGCGTTTTTTTTTCAAGTTTGGAGGTTAGATGGGTAGGATTTTATCGTGTCTCACGAAACCATGTGGCTAACCATATGCCACCCATGTCTTCCATAGCGTGGGGAAGATCTCGGGGCGTAGCATCAACGGTGGTAGAACGGGAGAAAATTAAAAAGAAGATCTTGGAGAATAGCTCCAATGATTGCAATGTTGGAAAGTCGAAGGGATTGAGCGTAGCAAAATGACGGTAGAATGTTGGAAATGGAAAAGATATCCCAGAGCGTAGCATCAATGATAGAAGAAAATTGAAGAGAAGATCTCAGAGCGTAGCGTCAAGTATGTTAGAAAGCTGAAGAAAAGATCTTAGAGCGTAGTGTCAGTGATGGTATAATGTTTGAAAGTTGATGAAGAGAACACCTTAGACGGTCCATGATGCTAAAAAGATGAAAGAAAAATGTTACCGCGTCAACGCAGTACTATGTAAGAAAATCAAAGAGAAGATCTCAGAGCGTAGCAACAACTTTGCTAGAAATTTGAAGGGTAGCAGCTAGCATGAATCAGGGTAGAATGTGAGAAAATTCAAGAGAAGATCTTAGACCGTAGAATCACTCATGGTAGAATGTTTGGAGTATAGCATCAATGATGACGAAATATTTGAAAGTTGATTAGATCTTAGAACGTGGCATGTTAGAAAATACAAGAGAAAACCTTGGCACGTAGCGTCAATGATAATAGAAAGGTCAAGAGAAGACCCAAGACCCAAGAACATAACTAATGAGATGCTATTGTAGAAAATTGAAAAGAAGATCGTCGAGCTAAGGGTCAGTGATGTTCAACATTTGAAAAGAAGACCTTAGAGCGCAGCATTGATGATGTCAGAACATGGAAAAGACAATGATGTTGGAAAATTTGAAGAGAAGATCTTGGCGCGCAGCATCACTGATGTTTCAAATTTGAAGTAAAGATCTTGGAACGTCGCTTCAAGTATGTTGGACAATTGAAGAGAAGATCTTAGAGCGTAACATCAAACATGTTTGAAAATTGAAGAGAAGTTCTTAGAGCGTAGCATCAATGATGGTACAATGGGAGAAAGATGGAAATAAAATCGAAAAACATAGCATCAATGCGGGTAGAATGTGAGAAAAAACAAAAGAAATCTTAGAGCGCAGCATCGATGATGTCTGAAAAGTGAAGAGCGTATCTGAATGTTGGACAGTTGAGAAGATCTTTGAGCGTAGAATGGCTGATGTTGGAAACTTGAAGAGAAGATCTTTGAGCGTAGCATCAATGATAGTAGAAAACTGAAGATCTGTTGCAGCTTGGAGATTGAAGAGAAGATCTTAGGGCGTTGCATCAATGATGGTAGAGTATTTGCAAGTTGGGTAGATCTTAGAGCGTAGCAGCAACCAGTTAGAAGCCTAAGGAGAAGCTGTTGGGTAGTAGCATCAATGCATTCTATGTAAAACATGCAGAAGGTCTCAGAGCGTATCAGAGTGTAGCATCAAATAATGTTAGAAATTCTTATCCCCAGCGCGTTACTTCTTGATTTTTGTTTAACACTTCCCTTCCATTTGCTACAGCGTTCCTTTCGTTTCAACTCTTCCCGTCCATTTGATACTTCCTTTCTTTCGTTTCAACACTCCCATCCCGATCATGTACTTCTTCCTTTCGTTTCAAGCCGTTCATGCGGTTACGTCCTTCCACTCGTCTCAATTCCTATACAATCCTTTCGGTTACATGTTTTATTGTAACTAGCCTATTTCGTTTGTTACTTCCTTCTTTAAATTTCAACACTCCCCCACGTTAGTTACTTCCTTCCTTTCGTTTCAACTCCTTCCTTCCGTTTGCTGTCAAGTCGTTCATTTCGTTACGTCCGTCCTTACGTTCCACCTCGTTTATAAACCCCCTTCGTTTCACCTCTTACGCCTCCTACAATCTGTTCGTTACTTTCATTCTTTCGTCGATTCGTTGCAGCTCTTTCCTTTCATTCCTTATATACTTCCTTCCTTTCGTTTCAACTCTTCCCTTCCGTTCGGCCGCTCCTTTAGTTTCAACTCTTTCCTTTCATTCGTTACTGTCTTCCTTTCGTTTCAACTCTCTCCTTTCATGCGTTACTTCATTCCTTTCGTTTTAACTCTGACATCCCGTTCCTTACTGCTTCCCTTCGTTTCAAGTCGTTCATTGCTGGCCATGGTCCAAGAGATTTCCTACTTGGGTGATTATAACAAAAGCATTCAACCTAACTATGATAAAATTCATCTCTCCCCTTCGGCTGAAAAACATGATACGGATCGAACCAAAAGTGCTGGAAATCTGGTGAAGCAGTGCCAAGGGTTTGCTATACACAGGCGGTAAACAGTGGTAAACACCGAGAAATTAACCAGCATCCACGAAAAAAATGGTACGAATCAAAAATTTACCAATACCCACGGTAAAAGCGATAAAATTCGAAAAAATATTTCTTTCCTTTCTTCCCTGTAGGAGGCACAAGCGTATACCCGGTCGACAAACAACAGCCCCTTTAAATTGTTTCTTTCCGTTCATTGTGTCCTTCCTTTCTTTTCAACTCAATGTCTCCTTTCCGTTCCTTGCCTCCTTCCTTTCGTTTCGCCTCTTCCTTTCCATGCGTTACTTCTGTCCTTTCGTTCCATGTCTTATATTCCGTTCGGTACTTCTTCCCATTCGTTTCAACTCTTCGTTTCCGTTCATTGCGTCTTTCCTTCCGTTTCACCTTTTCCCTACTATGCGTTACTTCCGTCCGCTCGTTTCAAGTTTTATATCCGGTTCGTTTCTTCTTCCCTTTCGTTTCAACTCTTCCCTGCCGTTTGCTCCGTCCTTCCTTCTAATTTAATTCTTCGTGTGTCGTCTCAACTTTTCCTTTCCGTTCGCTGCGTCCTCTCTTTCATTTCAAGTCTCCTCTTCCATTTGTTACTTCCTTTCTTTCGTATTAATTCTTATGTCCTGTTCGTTTCCTTTCTTTCGCATAAACTCTTACGTCCTGATCGTTCAGTTTTTCCTTCCGTTTCAACTCTTCCTTTCTATTCGTTGCGTCTGTGCCTTCGTATCAACTCTTCTGTCTTGCTCGTTTAGCATCGTTTAGCTCTTCCTTTCCTTTCACCTTGTCCATTTCGTTGCGTCCATCCTTTCGTTTCACCTCTTCCCTCCTATTTGTTATTTCCTTTCGTTTCAACTCTCACCTCACGTTTCACAGAAAACTTGAAAAAAATGCAGCTCGCGAGAAAAGCATGTTTTTTCAAATTTTCAAGGGTGGGGCCATTCGGGCTGGTATTTGCCGTCCAAGCAGCCATAAGCAGCCACTTGCGGCCACTTGCGGCCACTTGCGGCCACTCGCTTGGAGCGGCCACTTGCGGCCACTTGCGGCCACTTGCGGCCACTTGCGGCCACTTGCGGCCACTTGCGGCCACTTGCGGCCACTTGCGGCCACTTGCGGCCACTTGCGGCCACTTGCGGCCACTTGCGGCCACTTGCGGCCACTTGCGGCCACTTGCGGCCACTAGCGGCCACTTGCGGCCACTTGCGGCCACTTGCGGCCACTCGAGTGGCTGCAAGTGGCTGCTTTTTGAATTTCAAATACCGCTGGTTTTGCAACCTCAATGTAAAAGCAAGTCAAACAGACTAGGCCTGGACACATCACCAACAGCCAAACTGAAATCAAGCAAGCTACATCTACCCAGAGAAAACATCATCATACTTGGGATACCCCTTGATATGGGCTACATCTATGCCAAAGAGCCCAAGACATCCGAAACAGGCCAGGCCTGAGCTCCTGTGTCATCGATGTCATTCCGTGCCAAATTCATGTCCCGCACGGAGCTATTGATCTTCAAGGCTCCCGCGAGAGCCTGAAAGAAACACGAGACATCAAAGATCCGGGTCAGCAACTGCAACAAGTAAAATCAGTAAAGAGACTTGGCTCGCCTCTGACCAACCTAGACCAACCTACGAATCGACATGACACTCACTTGAAGCTGATCTGGAAATGCTTCGAATGAAAGCATGTCAAACAGACTAGGCCTGGACACATCACCAACAACAAAACTGAAGTCAAGCAAGCTACATCTACCCAGAGAAAGCATCATCATACTTGTAATACCCCTTGATGATCCTTGATGTGTGCTGAGTCTAAGCCAAAGAGCCCAACACATCCGATACAGGCCAGGCCTGAGCTCCCTCGGGACCAATCTTGTTATGTGCCAAATTCATGTCCCGCACGGAGCTATTGGTCTTCAAGGTTTCCGCGAGAGCCTGAAAGAAACACAAGACATCAAAGATCTGGGTCAGCAACTGCAACAAGTAAAATGAGTAAAGAGACTTGGCGAAGCGAGATGTAAGGGGAACATGGGCAAGGGAGTGAAGGTGGCTCTGAGTGGAGTTAGTCAGGTGGTGAGTTGGATGGAGTGGGCTGGGCGGAGTGAGATTGGTGAAGTTTGTTAGAGTGAGTTCGTTGGATTGCTAGAGTTGGATAGAATGAGTGAGTTGGATGGAGTGAATTCAGTGGAGTGAGTTTGATCGAGTGCAGTGGACCGAGTTAGATGACTTGAGAGTGGAGAGCGTTGGAAAGTGTGAGGTGGAGTGAGCCGAGCCATGTTCCAAGGTAACATCATGTTACATTTCGAGCTTTATGTCCAAAATGATAGCTGATGTAGATGGTGTGGTCTTGTGGGAAATCAAGCCTCAATCAGCCAGGGGTGTTCAATGGGCGGAACCGGGGTAATCGCTGCCTCCCACATCCCTTGCTACCGTGAGAAGCAACTCCAGCTAGCTACCCGTGATATGCTTCAAATGACTCCAAGAGGAGGTCACCCAGCAATTCAGCGACTTGCCTTTTATTGTTGTATGTGGGTGAGCAAGCAATCGTATCAAGCAAGTGAATCAATGATCAAACAATCTGCTGCCTTCACCATGAAGCGGCCACTTTCACCGATGCCACGGATTTCAAGCGTCTCCGCTTGACTTGATGCCAAAGCCTGCAGGGCGCCAAGTTTTTTCAGGACACGGCAACATTTTTTCCATGCAAGGTCACACAACTAGCATCAGCTAGCACCACCATCACCGACATGTCTCGGGCCTTCCCTAGGGACGTTGCCTCTTCCTCGCCACATTGAAACCTCCTCACCGTCAAGCTCTTCAGATTTTCGTAGTGTGGGAGCGCATGCGCTAGTGCCAAGATCTCTTGGGCCGGAAGGCCTTCTAACACCAAGTGTTGACATTCGATCACCTTCTCCCTGAAAATCTTCTGTTGCAAATAGATCACTGCTTCAGCATCCGAGCGATGGGTGAACTTTGCTTGCTCCATTTGCTGCCTGAACTTCTCAGGGATCATAGGAACTCTCCCATTGAGATGATCGGATTTCTGCGTCTCAGACTTCGGATCCTTCGGCCTGTCGATGTGTTGATGTTGTGCATTCACTCCTCTCAGAGATGACCATTCGATTTCTGCCATACACCACCCTCGCTGTAAGTATGGAGTTCTGTTGGCTTCCAAGAGCTTCAAGGGCTTCTCTTTCAGAGTCTTGCTGCCTGCATCATACACTCGGACAACAACTTCTTCATCAGCCAGCATGGTGTTCCAAACATGCTCTGGAGTAAGGGTTTCGATCCTGAATGTCAAAGTGCATTCGTGAGCATACATGAGGTGCATGTTGTTCATCGCCTTTCGAAAGCTCTTCTCTTCATGTGAGTTGGTTCTTTCATATTGGAAGAGTGAGCTGTAATCATAGAAGATCCAAATGTCTGCTTCGAATGCAGCACCGTACAGTCCAGTATGATTGACGATCTGCTGCAATTGGTGCCGACATGGATCTGGATGTTCCCGGGTTTCCCAGGCGTGGGAAATGGAACAAATGATCGCCTCCTGGGTCCCATTGGCCCAATTTTGCACTTCTTCGTGCGTCACCAACGCACTCTGACGCTCGCCACCGCAAGTGAAGGTCTCGGTTTCTGCTTCTTGCCGTCTCGGTAACGGCCGTTTGGAGAGAACCAAATCAGAAAGGTACCTCAGCGCAGATTTCTGCAAGGGTGCATTGGTGCATCATGTCTCATGTCAGACATGAACGGAAACATCTTTTGTCATGAGTTTCTGGCCTCTAGGATCCTCTAGGGTTGAAGCTGGCATTTGTGGCTCGCGTGCTGAATTGTTCAGCTATCTGAACGACTTGCCATCTTCATTTGAAATATCACTGGCTCTGTCCTTTTTGGCTTGAATATTCACTTACAAGAAGACCAGGAAGACAAAGCATAATTCTTTGCGTGTATAATTATATAACATTAATTATATAACCATTGGTCCTGCTTTGGCTGCAATCTAAGGATTCAGTGATCGAGCACTTCCACATGCAAATCTGTACAGCACTGCACAGCACTGCACAGCACTGCTTTACTGTAGAGCACATAGCCACAACGACTGGGGGTCAAACTTGGCTCGTACCAACCGAACATCCGAATCTTGTAGGAATTGGGCGAAAGCCTGTGGATCTTTCAAGCCGTATCGAGCCTTGGGGCAAATTCAATGGCTCCACACGAGGGAATCCTTCAAAGAGAAAAGATAAAGAAACAATTGCTCATATACTCATCTTGACATCGTGCTGGAATGATTGAGCAAGTGCATAGGGTGTACTGTTGAGATCTGTTAAAGCTGGTCTTACATGGACAGAATTCTTCCCCGGTCATGTGCCAACTTCATGACATTTTCTCCACGTGGTACTGCTCGGAACCAGGCTTCTGCGTCGGCCGCTTTGGCAATGGCCTTCGTCAATCAATGAATTTGTGAGACAACCAATCCCCATCCAATATGCCGATATTAGACGGTTCCAAGACCAATAAATGTGGGAATAATTGAATGAATAATATGATACAAATACGTACAAATACTACGACCAGACCTACATCATTTAGTCCTAGGATGTCCTAGGCGCATGTAGATGAACTGGTGGCCACAAGTGCAATGGATTCCCTTGTGATATCTCCCTCGGTCAAAAACTAGGGAAGCTCATGGAAGCTCGAAGCATCGCTGCTGAGCTCCCGCGCTTCTCGCACCTGGGAGGCGACATCCTGCCTGGTCACGACTGTGTGGATGGGTTGTTCGCCTTTGCCTCTCTAGATCGACATTGGACACAGGGCAAGGTTGATTCATCTGTCGGAGTGCACCATGCTAAGATGGGAAATGGTTCCCTGCTCAGTCGATTTTGGGTTGTGTTTGTTTGAACCACATGCGACATGTCCTGAAACAGAACTGGCAAAAAGCGAGAAAATAGTTGAGCGAGCATCGGCCATTTTTGCCTTTTCAATCCTTTTCAGCACCTGTAAGGCACCTGTACCACAACTGGGAGCCCTGAGCATCAACTGCTGCCCGCCTAGTTTTCGCTGTACCGGGAATCGAGTCGTCAGCTTCAACCTGACGAGGCCGCCAACGCTGACAAGGTTCCACATCAAAGAAGCATTGATACTCTCAGCCTCTCAGCTCTCTTCCACAAAGAAAAACGAACAAGAAATCAAGAACATCTCTCTCTCTCTTCCACATGTTCAACTCTGGTTACGGTTGTCAAACCTCGGCAACTGTGGCAGATTGTCAAGCTTATGGTCCATGACTCAGTTGCAGCATCAGAGGAGCTGCGGAGCATTGCGGGGCCTGAGAGTCGCCAAGCTCCAAGAAGTACTTGGACAGTTTCACGATGTCCAGGTGACCTTCACCTCAGCTACGCTGAGCAAAACACCTGGTCTCCTTGACATATCTTGACATGTGTCTGGAAATCGCTCTATGGTTTACTCAGTTTACTCAGTTTACTATGTACCCTCCGAAGACCGCTGCAAGCGGAAAACACCAAAAAAAAGCACCTGCATCTGTGGCATCTATGGGTTGGCGGGTCTACTTGCGTGCAGGGCGCTGTTCCTCGGCAGCTTCCGAAGACTGGCCTTGACCCGTTTGGACATGGCCCGGCAACCATCCAATCGTTCAAGGCTCAGCTGAATACACGGAACGTTCACAGGATGTCACAGTTGGTTCTTTTCTGGAAAGGATATGGTATGGTCTATTGAAAGACAGGTGGTAAAGCAGTGTCTAAAGTCTAAGCATGCGTAAACCAGTTATGTATGGAATGACCAGGATTGGCTTTGCAGCCTTGTGCCAAACTTTAAAGAATGACAACCTCCAAATTCCATCGTGCAGCTCCCACCTGGCCTGGACTTTGTCCTGGCTCAGCTCACTTCCTGCGACGCCAACGTCTTAAAATGTCAACCTGCGGGTCCTAGCATAGACACACCAAGAAGTAATTAGACCCGTATTACAGATTATTACAGTGGATGTTTTCGAATTTCTGCAGAGGTTTAGCTTGGGTCAAAAACATCACGAATATGATATGTCTATATGTTTCTATGTGTTTCTTCTTGTTTCTACTCTTGTTTGGTATGGTTTGGGAGTCTCTGCATGCTGGCTCCACCTGAATGACCTGTTGCCCTGACTGACAGGACGTGGCTTCGATGTGCAAACAGACTTCATCAGGCAGCCAGGCATCCGTTGATCCCCTCGCCACCTTTTCGGCTGTTCCAAGCCCGATCCTGCCTCTCATCACTTCTTGCAGCTCTTCCTCTGACAATGCGCCTTTACCGTCCGTGTCGAACTGCTTTAGATAGTCCAGCAATTCCTGCGCAACGTGCAAATTGCAGAGACCATCTCAAATTTGCAGCACATGGTGACAAGGAGTGAGTTGAACCATGTCAAATCTTAATAAATGACAGCAAGCTTGGTGCATCCCTCATGGGTCGTCAGGTTGGCCTGAACTTTCGGAATCAGCTTTCCCAATTCCTCCTGCATGGCAGCTTGATGCAGCTTGCGGGCTGAAAAACCAAGGATCTGACCCCTGTGCATATCCACCAGTGGAGATTGCCTGGGATTTCACCAAGCCTTTCAACAACTTGCCCTGGTTTTTTGGATCTTTGAGTCCTTTGAGTCTTTAAGACACCCAAAAAGAGTTGCTTCATTTCTGAAACATTTGCAAGAGCCACATGAAGCACACTTCAGACTTCTCACACACATAAAACTTCATCAAGCACCCCGGTTCATCTCAGTCCTCTATGAAACGGTGAAACATCTTTTGGTCAATGTATTTTGGACCACCGAGATCTGCCAAATGCTTTTTGACCTCATTGCAGCAGGGAGATAGAAACACTTCAACCGTTTATGAACAGACATTGGCACGAGAGGGAAGCAATAGTCTCAAGGCTATTACACAACAGCATTGCCGTCAAAGAACCTCATCTTCCGTGGGGTTCATCCCAAGAATAGCCATGGCATGTCCAAGTCGTTCCGCGGGAACTCCAGAAGGCTGGGAGAAGTATCTGAAGACAGCGTTCGTGGAAGCGATGACATCGCTGAACATCGTGCTGTAGGCCTTGGCAAATCGATCCCAGAGGCGCATCTGGGTCATTTCTTGGTGGAGAACATGTGCAATTCAAAACACTTTGATTGAAGACACTGACATGTCTCATGTCTTCAGGTCAAACAGGGCGGGGTCTCGGGGAAGAGACTTCGTTCACATGATTTATATAATACTGCAAAAACTGCAGCACAAATCTCAGCAACCATCAGAGTTGTCCACTTTAGCAATGTGTAGATTGAAGGTCTTGCAGGTGTATCAAATTCCTTCCTTCTTCAAAGTCCAATTAAAGTGATTGAACGCATCGCTTCTCCCGGAATATTGCAGTGTTGCCGCAAGACTTTGCACCTGCCTTGAAATCAGTAAGAAGCATTGAACATCTATCAGAACCGACGGATCTGAATCTTTTCATAAAGAAAGCCTCTGAGCATGAACAGATTTGCTCCCGCTTGTACCGGAAAGCCGGGTCCCCATCCAGCTGGGTATTCTGTATCTCAGGTATCAGTCGAGACCAGCGGGAACTACATTTCGACACCCAGTAGTACTCAGTATAGTCCCACTCCTGAGCCTCCAAACTGCTGGGCCACTGGCGCTCTCCTCTGCCACCAACAATGAATCATGTCCAGTTTCGAAATGTCTTATGCCATATGTTGTGTGTGTGTGTATGTCAAAGACCTTCCAAACTTGAATCTATGACAATAGGCTTAGGCATTGTATGGGAACAATCATGTTCGACATTCGCGTGCAAACTTCATGGGAACTCTTTTATAGCCCTGTCAACAAACACTCCATTCCACTTCAGAAAGCACGCTATCCTCAGCAGCTCGGGTCTCTCTGCCTCAGAAACTGCAGGTAGAAAACCATTGAGTTCGCAAATGACATCATAATTGGGATCCGCTCCTGCATACCCGACGGGAGGCATACCCTACCACCAGTGGCCACCAGGTCCAGGCCCTCTTAAATACTTCACAAATACCACAGTGTGACATGATTTCCATTACCCAAAAATGTTGCGATGATCCGACGATCTGCTTGCGGCGGCGAAGGATTATATGCGAATTGAAGCATGCCGCGTCAAGGTGACAAGATGTGTGAGGATTGTATGACAAGCTTCCAAAGTCGATTCAAGACTCTGAGATCCTGACATTGTTCAGCATCAGTTGTGCCTGCCTCGGGGAAAAGCAGGAAAATACACCCCAGACAATTTCACGGGGAATGAAGGACAAACTTTCAACCCACCCATCGAGCCTAAGAGGTGCACGCTGCGCACTCTGGCTGGAAGTCTAAACCGCAAAATTATGCAAAATTCATTTTGTGTCAGGTCAAATGAAGCAATGAGCGGAAATAGTTTGAGTCTCCTAGCCGGACCAAAAGAAGGAACCCCTTTTTGAAAGACCGCCCAACTGCACCGAATTCAATTATCAACTTTTGGCCAAACTGCCAAAAACAATTGGTTGCATGACCAGCCAACGGCTACAAGCTGAAAGCACCCAAAAAGTTTCAAATCCTCCAGCTCCCGCATGTGCCTCGGCATCAGCTGATACGGCATCCTTGACCACCTTGCAGCGCAGTCACATCCACTCTTGTTTTGGTCCAGTGAACGGAGAAAAGCCTCATAAACTCAGCATGTGGACATATACCAAATGTGCGTGCTCTGATAGTGAAAGAAGCGTCTGTCTATATATGGTAAAGTGTCTGACATGGCCGCAAGTGACTGCAATTTTGAGATTCAAACTGAACTCAATGTTATCTTGAATGAAACGCGCAGAAGTCTAAAGCAACAAAGCTCTAGCCCCTGGTCATTCATGCCTGAATTTCGACTGCTTTGCTATCTGCTTCACTCGCACATGCTCTCTCTTTCTCTGCCTTGCAACTGACTTGTCAGGCCTTGAAACTACGTGCTGAGAAAAAATAAGCAAGCTGCTCCACTGCTACATGTTTCCATTTCCAAACCACACCAGGTCCACTGCTACATGGTTTTGTGGGCCAGCACAACCAGAAGTGGCGCTTACAAAGTCTTGCTTAAGATAGTCTGGTGCGTTTATTCGAATTGAAGTCTGGTTGTAAGGTTGAAGGTTGAATCACGTGGGTTAAGAGCGCCCGCATGAGAACAGTTCTGCCATCTTTGACCTGAAACATCATGATCGAAGGAAGTTTAGAAGTCAAACTTCCGACAATATGGACAGATAAAAAGCAGAGCAGGGCAGAGGCAGAGAGAAGAGAAAAATCAGAAGAGAGAAGAGTAGAAGAGAAAGAGTAAGAAGAAAGAAGATGGAGATGCGCGAAAAGGTAGGAAAGTCGCGATTCACTGCGTTTTTCTAGTGATTTGTGGCTCCGGAGGGTCGAAGAGTAGGCTCGCTAAAGCGGCGGGTGCGGAGCCAGCTGGCCAGAGGAGAGATGAAAAATTGCACGCCGTTGTGGCGCGAAGCACATTTCCAAGTGAAAATGTACAAAGCACACCTTTCTCGGACCACTTTTGGAAGTTGAGATGTCAAAAAAGTGCACGCCGTTGTGGCGCGAAGCACATTTCCAAGTCAAAATGTACAAAACACCTCAGCTCCGGACCACTTTTGGAAGTTGAGATGTCGAAAAAGTGCACGCCGTTGTGCGCGAAGCACATTTCCAAGTCAAAATGT